GGAAGGCCATGAAATATGTTTTTTTGAAAGTTTTTCCAACAACTGGTAGGTTTCTGGATAAGTAAAATCCAAAAGATCTCCCTCTGCAGCTGCATCAACAGTTGCTTTCAATGGTGGGGTTAAGCCATGATAAAACGTGTGAATGATGCCCCAATCAGAAACTCCATGATTCGGGAAAATTTGTATCAACTCTTTAAAGCGTTCCCACGCTTCATACAGACTTTCTCCATCATACATTTGAAAAGAAGCTATATCAGCCCTCACTTGGGCTTGTTTTGCTTGGGAGAAAAATCGGGTAACAAACTGTTCCGCCAATTGCTCCCAACTGGTGATGGAGTTTGGGGGCAATGTTTTCCTCCATTCTTTGGCTTTTCCAGCTAAGGAAAATGGAAAAAGCCGCATCCGCATGTTTTCTTCCAAAATACCATGAACTTTGAAATTATCAACTATCTCAGTGAAATTGTCCAAATGACTGTGAGGGTCTTCCATGGGTAGTCCATGGAACTGACCAGCGTTCATAATCATTTGGAACATTGCAGGTTTCATTTCAAAGTTCGGGATATTCAAAGGAGAGGGAACATAGCCTCGTTCTGGACCATTTCTGAAGGGAGCAGCCATATCATTCAATGATGGCCCTCTTCCTTCATTCGGTCCTTGTTCAGGCTCATGATTATGATTTCCATTGTTATCATTGTTTACAACCTCCGCCATTGTAATGTTTCTCAACCTTTGAACTCTTCTTCTATTTATGAAGGTTCTCTCGGGTTCTGGATCAAAAAGTACTATTTCCAGTCCAAGTTCTGTAGGTTCTGTGCTCATACAAATGGAGGAGGTCTATCAAAACAAAAAGACTGCAATTAAACAACAAAAATGTTTCCTTAAAAACGCTCTTTCTTGCCAAATGATCCCCGGCAACGGCGGCAATTGCTTGGTCGAACCGAGAGCTGCTCGGGAATATCTTTTCAGAGAGCAAGAGTGCAGAGTAATAATCAGGATTGCCAACAGGAGCAATCTACTCTGACTAAGAGCAACCCTCTTCAACTATACGCAAGCGTACGTGTCAAGCAATATAGGGTATTGTAGCCCCAGATTTATCGTCCTCAGGGAGCAGTTTTGAAGTAAGAAGCGCTAAAGGAAACTTAATTTGTAGAATGGAGCAATAAAAGAAAGTACTATCCTCAGCTAAGCTTCACAAAGAGAATCTCTGGGCAGCTAGTTAAACAATGTTAACCATTCTGAACCAGATGAGAGCAGTGAATGACTTAGCACGGTCATCGAATAAAAAGGCATCAATTTAAGTAACTTCAAGAGCAGTCAACGAAATGAAAGTAAGAGCATCAGCTGGTAAAACACAGTTCAGTTATCGTGAGGAAAAGGTTGTGGTAGAAGTTTGAGTTAAGATTAATTTCAGAAAAAGTCAAGTAGGTGTTACGGGTTCCATGTTTTCATCCCTGTGGTTAACCCTGCTTGGTAGCATATTTTAAAAGTTGATTTTGCTTCTTCCCTTGTTTTGCTATAGGTAAGCAGAGGGTAAGGCCTTACTCTCCACGTTACTCCATAGTACTTGGAGTTATATGCAAGGAAACCATGCTGCCTTCTCAAAAGAGCATGGATTCACATGGCAGTGCTCCTCATTCCAGGTGTTTCTCCCTCCTTTCTTCAGGCTAAACTACCACAGGATCTTGAGAATGCTCCACATGCCCTTGTCAGTGTTTCATCAACCGAGTGGTCCCGGGATGAGGTTGCCAGCCCAAAGGGTTTCACAAAATCAATAAATTAAACCAAAGAGAAACTCAAAATTCATTTATAAAATATGTGTTCCTTACAAAGTTATCCTGAGACAAAAGGATTACTTCTATGGAACCCTCACCTACTTAGAGGAAGTTAGCTCCTGGTGAGCATTTTTACAAAAAGAAAACAAAGAGATGACGAGTCCTAGGATGGGCGCTGATGATTTCCTTTATGAGGATTGCTTGTTCCTTTTATAGGGTTCTTCATTTGATCTTCATTGTTCCTTTCATCAAGGGTCGTGCTTTGTTTAAATCCTCTCCAATGGTAGCTTTGTTTCTTGTCAGCTCAGCTCCGAATAGAAATCCTCTCCAATGGTAGCCTTGCTTTTTGCCAGCTTGGCCTTAAATGGAAGTGGTCCCCCTTGCTTTTGGCTCCCTTTGTGAGTGGGAGTATCGGATTCAGGGAGGCACCTCCACTCCTTCTGCTGCAGCTGACGTGGCGGCTTTTGATTGCTCAGCTTCTTTGCTTTCGTACTGTAGCAGAGGTAGCACCTCCACCTTCTCTGCTGTGGCTGACGTGGCGGCTTCCCATTGCTTCCTTTGACTGCTGTTGTACTACAGCAGGCTTTTTTTTTTCCTTTCTGCGCAACACTCCTTCTTCTCTCTTCATTTTGTGGTTCCTTCTGATGGGCCTTAGGTGTCCTGAACAAAGCAAACTAACCCAATAGTCATATGTGAAAAAGATAATGTTAAATTTGCTCCAGGTCTACCTTAACTCCCACTTTCGGTATTGCTCTGGTCCACTATTCAAAACAATTGCTCTATATGGAAAGAAGAAGGTTGAAGGGAGTGATTTATAACCAAAACATGTGTTTTGTGGAACAATTTACACTTAATGGGCCTCAACTCTTGAGGACCATCAAGCGCCGTGAAACATGGCGATAAGAACCCCCATTTCGTCTAGTCGCACGAACTGAAGACCCTGAACCACGACGATGGGAAGGGCGAGCCCTAAATACCTCACTGGGACCCCCAGACCGTCGCCCTCGAATGCTGGCTGGCTAACGCCTGCCAGACAAAGAAGCACTCTCACCCCCTGGCTCCAGGCGCTTACCACGCGGTCGAGAACCAGATGTTTCACCCAAGTAGGGAAGCACAGGCCCTAAAGCCCGTTCAGGCAAGAGACTCTGAATCTCATCTTCAGAGAAACCCAGAAGTTCTGGAATCCTACCATGGGGCAATGACTCCACCCCAGGGACCAAAGAACCATTGGAGGAAAAGCTGCTGCTCCCTCCACGCTTAGCAAGATATTCCTGCATAGCTGGCCCCACTGAACAGCCATCGAATGAGTCGAAAGCTTCATCAAACTCCTCCTCCTTAACCTCTACCCCCAACCCAGGAACGTCCATGGCTTTTACCGTGCCCAGGAAAAGAAGAAGAAATGGTGTACAAAGAAGCACAAAGAATATTAAAGGAGAAAGAGTGAGACACTATACCTGAGAAGTTATGCGAACAGTGAAGAAGCTTTAAGGTAAGGAAGAAGAAGCGCAGCGTAATAGAAGTAACAGTAGATCAATAATCAGCGTGAAGAAGACCTCAAGAGAGAGCAAGTCCCCCTTTTTAAGAAGAAATGAGTGCAAGGTGGCACTCACACGAACTGCCCCTTGATATTCCGACCGTCAGATGCCGTAACCGTCATTAACGGGCGGTTGTGATAAGGGGCACGATAGTAATTTCAAGGTGATATGACACCAATCACGTCCCATTAATGCGCCGTGCCTCGAAACAATACAACTGCTTGTAATGATGGAGAGTCCATCATTACAACGTGCACGAAAACCGAAGAGACACCCTTCGCGTCAGAAGGACGAAAGACCTGAAGTACCCCTGGAAGCATGAAGGACAAAACCGTTGGTCTTCTGATACCAATCAAAGACACCCAAAATCCCTAACTAGGCGACATCAGCCCAAGAACGCCCAGTAATTACGACCGGGCACCAACGCGGGTCTGCTACGATATTAAGGCGGCGACACCGCTCATGAATCTCCCTAAAGGTAACGCCCAGAGACAATAACTTGGCACCATCCAACGCATGCTACCAAGCTAGGGGGGCTCCTGTTCCGGATGGCCCAAGCGCTGGTACAGCCCAGCTGGCCAGGCCCAATCCTCAGGCCCAACCCACGCCAGCCCTAAGGGCTGACGTGGACTCTCGCGCCCTCCAACCTTGCAGTACGTCCAAAGGATACACCGAAATGTCCCATCTCGGGACGCTAACCACCAAAGGCGCCAGCCACAGGCACCATAAAGGGAAAACTACCCTCTGCCCAGTGCTGACATCGCCAGACACAGAAGGTGCAGCGCTGCCCAAATGGCAGCGCCAAACACGCCCAACACTGCTATCATAGGAGTACATCCCAAGGAGGGTTGACCCCTCCTCACCAACCCACACCATTTTCCCTATAAATAGCCCCCATGGGCACATCCTAAAGGCATCTTATGTATCGTTATATTGCCCATTTACTTTGAGTCCTATTGCTTACTGCACTTACTTATTGTCTTGCTATTGCTTGACATAATACCTCTTAGCCTGGTCTGTACCTAAGCTAAGGGTATCTCTCATACAGTGACTCATCCCTAAAGGAAACATAGTGGGCTTATAGATCCCAATGGTACAGTTCCCATTATATAGGCAATAAATTTGCCCAATTATAAAAAGGAGTATACTATGGTCAAAAAGCTCACAATTAAGGAAGGGCCTTGTCGGTCATGCATCTCAAAAACTCTATGACTTGTGAAAATCTTGAACCAAGATGAGATCTGCTTTAAGGTCATCGGTCAAACAACTCTATTCAAAAATCTGGAGTAGCAAAGACCCTTTAAAAAATTCAGCCAATGACACAAGACATGGCTTTATCTCTAAGATTTTGCACTGCCTTTACAGTGTATTACACCTACTTTGTCTCCAAACTTATCTACATATCCTTCCATTTATTTTATCTAATTATAATATTAAATATATTGCCCATGGTTTCACGAGACCCAAGGGATATTATAGAATCACTAATTTATGCTATAAATAATGGGTTTCATGTTTTTCTGGAGATAAAATTATCTTCTACACACACATAAAAATATACGAGATTCATATAAAGTCATTTGAAATTAAGAGAAAACAAAATAGAAAAAATTATCATATAAATGATAGCTACTTGTGAGTTAAATTCTCATGCCAATCACTACAAGCAAGCTACCATTAGCACTCTACTCCAATGGCTCCAACAGATCTCACACATGTCACAAAAAACCAATCAAGGGATGGGGAAGAAGCAAGTGAAGAAGATAATCTAAGCCAAGATTGTAAGGATCTTATTCTCTCTCTTCCTAAAGAGAAGGGTTTTTCCATTCTACAGATATCCCCTTATCTCTATCTATTCCAAGGGTTTTGGTTCTCTTCAGCTTTCATCCAAACCATAAACATTATTCAGAAACACTTCCAAGCTAAAGACAGTGATGTTGTTGTAGCCACCATTCCAAAATCAGGCACCACATGGTTGAAAGCCCTTACCTTTGCCATTATCAACCGCCACCGTTTTTCATCCTCACAGAACCATCCATTGCTTACTTCAAATCCCCATGACCTTGTGCCTGTCTTTGAACACACCGTTTATGGGGATGCACATAACCAAGTTCCTAACCTCTCCAACATGATCGAGCCAAGACTTTTTGGTACTCACATTCCATTCCCTTTATTGGCTAAGTCAATCAAGGAGTCCAAGTGTAGGATCATTTATATATGCAGGAACCCTTTCGACACTTTTGTGTCTCTCTGGATTTTCCTCAACGCAATTAACGTAGGCCCTCAATTTGCATTAACATTAGAGGAAGCTTTTGAAATGTACTGCAACGGGTTAGTTGACTTTGGTCCATCTTGGAACCAAATGCTTGGTTACTGGAATGAGAGCATAGCTAGACCACACAAGGTTCTGTTCTTGAAGTATGAGGATCTTAAACAAGATGTCAATTTTCACGTGAAAAGAGTGGCTGAATTCTTGGGTTGTCCTTTCACTCAAGATGAGGAAAATAGTGGAGTGATTGAAAACATAATAAAGCTGTGTAGTTTTGAGAAGATGAAGGAATTGGAGGTAAATAATTCTGGAGCAACTGGCACGAACATTTGGAAAAAGCACTTGTTTCGTAAGGCTGAAGTAGGGGATTGGGTGAATTACCTTTCTCCTTCAATGGTGGAAAAATTATCCAAAATCATGGAGGAAAAGTTAAGTGGATCGGGACTTTCATTTACGATGAATTCTTAATAGTGCAAGCAAGACAGTGATCATCTAAATCAGGGTTTATTATATATATGAAGAGTTGCTAAAGGATAACTTTATCTGTTGCTGAAATGTAGTTTGGCATGGATCAATGTTATTGTTGGGTTTAAACTTTAAATTAAATAAAAGAAAATAGAAAATGAAAGGGTTTATGTTACGAAGAGATGTGTCCCTTAGGAATTTGTTAGTGGACAATTAATGTGTTTTAGAGTTCCTAGATTTGTTATTTGCTATTGCTTATAAATAGCTCTATGTAAACCATTGTTTGTAAGGCTAGAAAGAAAAAGTAATTCAAAGAGGTATATTCAGAGACTTGTTTGTGTGTTTGAGTGTTTGAGAGAAACACCATTAACGGACCTGTGAATTACAAATTGGTATCAAAGCTTGAACCAATGGAGAGGAACAGTCTGCCAGTGCCTCGTCTGACAAAGACGAACTATGAAAATTGGAGCATCCAAATGAAAGCTCTTCTAAGAGCCCATGATAGTTGGGGATTGGTGCAAGATGGATTCGTAGAACCAGAATCGACAGTAGGATATTCAGAAAATCAACTCAGACAGTTGAAGGCATAAAAAACAAAGGATGCAGCGGCACTTTGTATAATGTTTCAAGCTGTTGAAGAAATCGGTGGCCTTGAGAAGATAGGAGGGGCAGCAACAGCAAAGGAGGCTTGGGATATTTTGGAGACGGTTTACAAAGGAGCTGATCGTGTGAAGCAGGTCAGACTTCAAACTCTACAAGGAGAGTTGGAAGGCATGAAAATGAAGGAGACCGAAGGAGTGTCGGACTTCATCACCCGGGTTCAGACCGTTGTGAACCAGTTGAAGCGGAATGGAGAGGCGTTGGCCGACTCCAGAGTAGTAGAAAAGATTCTGAGGTCACTGACAGACGACTTCGAGAACGTGGTGTGTGCAATCGAGGAGTCCAAGGACTTGTCTACGCTCTCTGTTGACGAGCTAGCAGGTTCCTTTGAGGCGCATGAACAACACAAGAAGAAAAATAAGGAGGAGTCTCTTGAGCAAGCACTCCAGACAAAAGCAACAATTAAGGATGAAAAGGTGTTGTACTCTCAGAATGCCCGAGGTAGAGGTCGTGGACGAGGTGGACGTGGAAATGGCCGAGGTGGTCGTGGCCGAGGTCAGGAGGTGAAACATGAAGAAAGAGCTGAGACGAGTCAGCAAAACTGGAGAGGTAGAGGACGTGGCCGAGGTGGAAGAGGCCGGTGGTCGAATCATAGTAATATAGAATGTTATAAGTGTGGCAAATATGGTCACTACTCAAAGGACTGCAACTCGGACAGATGCTACAACTGTGGCTGAGTTGGGCATTTCGCTAAGGATTGCCGAGAAGAAAGAAGAGTTGACGAAACTTCAAACCTCGCTGCAGAAGGAGAAATAAGAGATGGAGGAGTTCTGATGCAAGCCCATGGTGAAACAAGTTCAAAGGATGAGTCAGAGTGGTGTTTGGATACTGGTGCCAGTAATCACATGTGTGGTTACAAACATCTGTTCAAGGAGTTGAAAACGGTGGAAGCCGGACATGTCTCCTTTGGAGACGCGTCCAAAATTGATGTAAAGGGCCGAGGTACGATCTGTTTCTTGCAAAAGGATGGACGAGTTGGTATGATTCGGGACGTTTATTACTTGCCTGAGCTCAAAAGCAATATTCTGAGCGTTGGACAGTTGATGGAAAAGGGCTACTCGGTTCTAATGAGAGACCGAGTTCTACTATTGAAAGATATACAAGGGCGTCTGATAGCCCGAGTTCAGATGGAAAAGAACAGAATGTACAAGCTGAGTCTGAGGAGCACGGAGGTCGGCTGTCTGCAAGCCGAGGTGGAGGACAAGATGTCGCTGTGGCATCGACGGTTTGGACACCTTCATTATGGTGGTCTGACCGAGATGATGAAGAAGAACATGGTGGTGGGACTGCCGAAGATAAACTCTGAAGGAAATTTTTGTGAGGATTGCGTATTGGAAAAACATGCAAGGAGCCCATTCCAAAGGACGGAGAGATACCAGGCTAAGCAACCTCTGGAACTTATTCATATCGACCTGTCATAACTCTGGGGTCCTTTAGTGGAAAAAGGTATTTTGTCTCATTTATTGATGACTTTAGTCGTAAGACTTGGGTTTATTTTATGAAAGAAAAATTCGAGGTGCTGGATACCTTTAAGAGGTTTAAAGTGATGATTGAAAATACAACTGGAAGATACATCAAATCGGTCTATTCAGACCGAGGTGGGGAGTATGTGTCAATAGCGTTTAAAAGATATTGTGAAGAACACGGGATAAGGCGGTTTCTGACCGCGCCATACTCACCCCAACAAAATGGAGTACTGAGAGGAAGAACTGTACTATCTTGGATATGGTCCGATCTATGCTGAAAACAAAGAACATGCCAAAGGAGTTCTGGGGAGAAGCCTTACAGTGTGCAGTGTACGTGCAGAACCGATGTGCTCATTCGAGTCTGAATGATAAAACCCCGCAGGAAGCGTGGAGTGGTTAGAAGCCCTCAATGGGTCATTTTAAAAATTTTGGGAGTGTTACGTATGCACACATACCGGATCAGTTGAGGACGAAGCTTGAAGACAAAAGTAAAAAGTTCGTGTTCATTGGTTATGATGAGAAGACGAAGGGGTACAAGTTGCTGGACTCCGTCAGTAAAAGGGTGTTGGTGAGCCGAGATGTGAAAGTAAATGAGGAAGATGTATGGGACTGGAGTAGTCCATCCGGGGTCAATGTGGAACCCGGACACATATCAATTGAGGTTGGACAACCCTCGACCCGCATTCCAGAAAATCCAAATGATTTTGATAGTGAAGAAGATTTGAGACAACCAAGGTTGAGGAGTCTACAAGATTTGTATTATTCCACCAGTGAAGCACACTTGGTATGTTTGTTGGCAGATTCTGAAGAAGTGAGTTTTGAAGAAGCAATCCGAGATGAGAAATGGCAATCAGCCATGGAGGAGGAGATTAAAGCAATAGAAAAGAACAAGACATGGGAGTTAGCCGAACTTCCCAAAGGAAGTCATCCCATTGGTGTGAAATGGGTGTACAAGAAGAAAATGAACGTTAAGGGGAAATCGAAAGATACAAAGCCCGACTAGTGGCGAAAGGGTATAAGCAGAAGACCGACATTGACTATGACGAGGTGTTCGCGCCCGTAGCAAGAATGGAGACAATCAGGCTGTTAATTTTTCAAGCAGCCCAGTTCGGATGGCCGATCTATCAGATGGACATGAAGTCAGCATTCTTAAATGGAGTACTCGAGGAGGAGGTGTATCTGGAACAACCTCCGGGATTCATGAAAGCCGGACAAGAAAGAAAAGTATTGAGACTGAAGAAAGCTTTGTATGGTTTGAAGCAGGCCCCAAGAGCCTGGAGCACAAGAATTGACAATTACTTCAAGAAGGATGGACTTGAACAATGTCCGTATGAACACGCACTATACGTAAAGAAGAAAGGAGGTAAAATTCTACTTGTTGCTCTATATGTTGATGATATGATTTTCTTGGGTAATGATGAAGGAATGATTCAAGATTTTAAGAAGAAAATGACGAAGGAGTTCGAGATGACAGATCTCGGTCTGATTAGGTACTTTCTTGGTCTGGAGGTCAGACAAGAAAAATCCGGGATCTTCGTTTCTCAGGAAGCCTATGCAAAAGGAATTTTAGAGAAATTCAAAATGAGTGATTGCAACCCAGTTTCAACCCCTATGGAACCCGGCGTTAAACTTTCAAGATATGATGGAGGAGAAAAAGTAGATCCGAGTGTTTATCGTAGTCTAGTTGGAAGTCTGAGGTACTTGACATGTACGAGGCCGGATCTATGTTTGAGTGTTGGAATAATAAGCCGATTTATGGAAGAGCCGAAGTATACTCATTGGAAGGCGGCAAAGAGAATTCTAAGATATGTAAAAGGAACAATTTCTCAAGGACTTCTTTACTCGAAGTCGGACAAGTACAAGATGACAGGCTACTCGGATAGTGATTGGTGCGGAGATGTGGATGACTTAAAGAGCACGGCTGGCTATGTATTTTTTATGGGGAATACAGCGTTTACTTGGGTATCGAAGAAGGAACCCATTGTAACTCTATCTACATGCGAAGCTGAGTACGTAGCTGCTTCGTGGTGCGTGTGCCATGCAATTTGGCTGAGAAATTTATTGAGCAAGTTGGAGCAAGAGCAAGTCGGTTCAACTGAGATCCGGGTTGACAACAAATCAGTGATCGAGTTAGCAAAGAACCCGGTCAACCATGAAAGAAGCAAGCATATTGATGTCAGATTCCATTTCATCCGGGATTAGGTCAAAGAAGGAAAGGTAGAGCTCAGTCATGTGGCAAGCCGAGATCAAGTTGGAGATATTTTCACGAAGCCCCTGCCCACGTTGTTGTTTGAGAATTGCAAAAAGAAGATGGGAATGAAGGACGATAGAGATATTAAAGTTTAAGGGGGAGTTTTGTTGGGTTTAAACTTTAAATTAAATAAAAGAAAATAGAAAATGAAAGGGTTTATGTTATGAAGAGATGTGTCCCTTAGGAATTTGTTAGTGGACAATTAATGTGTTTTAGAGTTCCTAGATTTGTTATTTGCTATTGCTTATAAATAGCTCTATGTAAACCATTGTTTGTAAGGCTAGAAAGAAAAAGTAATTCAAAGAGGTATATTCATAGACTTGTTTGTGTGTTTGAGAGAAACACCATTAAAGGACCTGTGAATTACCATTATTGTGGCTTTTTCTTTCCGAGAATAAAGAGGAGTCAGAAGTCCTGGAAACCTGTGGCTAGCTACCTCAATTATTACTATCCAGAATCAGTTGGATAGGAAGTGTGTTAAACGTTATCAATTATAGTTGTTTCTTTCTTGTCTTTATGTTCAATGTAGGGTTTACTTATTTTGTGCTATGTTATTAAACTTGAAACCACCACTCAGTTTAAACCATAATCAAACTTAGTAGCTTTGTGACGTTGAAAGAACTGGAGGTAAATAAATCTAGAACTTCTACAGGAGAGCTGAAATAAGGGATCGGGTAAATTACCTTTCCGCGTCAATGGCAGAAAAACTATTTCAAAATCATCGAAGAAAAACTAACTTAATGAGGCCTAACTCTTGATAATCGTGCATGTAGCTTAAATATTGTTGTAGCTTTTTCATTTTCAAAATAAATGGGTGTCGCAAGTCCCAATGACTATGCGGTTGTCTAACACATAGTCTGATAGAGTACCATTTTTTGTGAGACTTTCGCCGTAACTAATGTTAAACGAGGTTTTGGAGCGAGAAAGTTGAGTTTTAGATTTATTGGATTTTATCTGATTATGTGTAGAGTTGAATCAGTTATCTATCAGCTTGCTTTACTTTCGCGATCGATGTATTTTATGTTTCTCGGAGTAGAAATATGTAACTGATGTTTCTCATATTGTCCAGCCGGGTGATATACACATCAGACAAAATTTTAAGTCTTCGATTAGACACTTTAAGAGACTTGACAGAGATGAGACACTATTATTCGTGTACGGTGTTTGATGAAGTTATTCCCAAAAAAAAAAAAATTCAAAAACAAAAAACATATTATATGCATTTATAAATACAAAATCAATCAACATATAGTACAATTTCACAAGATATAATATTTACCTTAATCTAAAACTAATTCATTACCAATATTTCAATGCTTCTCAAATATCCAACATTAAAATTATCAACAAATCTCAAAATGGATAAATAACATTTTTTAATATCATCAAACCAAATCACATAATAATTATACAACAATTTAAATGAAATAAAAAATATGATTAATTCTCAAAATATATTGTTCTATCTTGGAGACAGAGATGTCCAGCCCAATGGACTAGTGTATTGATCTTGGATCTATTGCCCTTTTCAAGGTATTTATGAAGGAGATACCCTTAAGTCAAGCAGATCACTATGCACATTAAACAAACAACGGCTTTGCCAAAGGAGTGTGTGTGTGTATGCGCACAGTGACAACATAACAGTAAGAGAGACAACGTAACGTATTAGAGTTTACCTTTTATTTATAGGAGTTACCGGTGGGTAATATGATATGGACCTTTAGTGCTTCTGATAAGGGCCCAGGCCTATCTGCCATGCTGTCGTTTTAGGATTAGTATCCTTGATGGATACCTATCCGTATTTACTCTTGATTTAAATCTTGGATTGCCCCTTGCTGGGAATGTCATTCAATGGGCTCCTTATACGAGTCCATAACAGTTGCCCCTCAGCCAGGCTATTGGGTGTCCGGGTTGCCGGTGTGAACTTCTTTGTATTTTGCTTCAGGTTTTCTGTTGAGCTGAGAGCATTTGAGTTTTTGTAAACTCTTTGCATGCATGTTCCTTGCATCTTAGGATTTTTCAACCAGGGTCCTTATTGCCCATTCTCTCGGCGAGTTGAGTATAAACCCGGGGAGATATCTCACGTATTCTCTATACCGAGTTAGGAATGTCCTTGAGTTGTTAGGATCCAACTGGCGAGTTGCCCCCAAGCATCATCCCTTATACTCATGCTCTGAGCTTGTAGCCTTTTTCTGGAGCCAGGAATGACTTTTCACAGCCCCCTATATGGGCGGGTTATGCATGAACCCGGCAAGATGCTGCACAAGTGTAGCCGGTTAACGAATGAGCTTGAGTTGTTGGGATTCAACTGGCGAGTTCCCCCCAAGCACATCACCCAAGCGTAATGTCGTTACAACCCGGGTTTGCATTGTTGTGCCTAATAGTCACTTTATGGATCTTGGCTATGGGTTCTCACTTTCATTTGCCGACTTTTTTGCCAACAATCATTTCCTTTTTACACGTGGTGCTTGTCACTTTCGTTAGCGTGATGCAGCCATTTTGTGCCGCCTTCGCATTTCGTGCGCATTTATTGGATGTGTCGTTTCAGGCATCTAATCATTGCTTTTTGAGTGCAATGACATTGGTGCCCCTGACTCTTGCCATCCGTAACCGCTGAGGTTACCACTCACGAGTGCAATGCCATTGGTGCCCCTGACTCTTGCCATTCGTAACCGCCGCGGTTACCATTCATGAATATATAAACCTCAATCTTTATTCTTTTTCTTCATTTCCATTTTGAGCATTCTGCAGAAACCTCTCCCTGCGTGAACTTTCTTGAGCCCCAGCATCTTCGAGCGCATTTCTCGCTAAACCTTGCAAGTTCGTCCCTTTATTCAGGCACTTCACTTTCCTTTGCATTTCTCTTGCTTCTTTCTTGGGTTGTTTGCATTTGGACATCTGATTTTGAACATGTTTCTTTTTCGAACTTTTCATTCTTCACATGTCATCCCGGTGAATTGTTTGCTGATTGCATTTTCTTCTTGTTGCATCAATGCTCTGTGTTTCTAGAGTGTTACATATTGCTTCACTTCTGGCATTTTAGCGTGTGTCACCCTCTATTTGTCATTTTTCCTTTGTTGCTTTAAAACTTAACGTCGTTTGAAACTTTAACAAAGTGAGGGGGAAAATCCCCTTTCTTCAGTTCTACATTGTGGGGGGAAGAAGGAGGAAGATTTTGACTTTTTGAAAAAGATTCCCCCTGGTGTTCGTTTCTGGCTGTGGGGGATCCCAAGGACTGAAGAAGAAGAAGAACGTGAAGCCATGCTTCATGGTTATCGCGATGGTAGATCCATGAGGAAATCTGGGTTGTCTAGTAGAGCATTAGGGCAGAGCCGGGGTAGTGGTTCGTCCACACGGGGTAGGAGTCGTCTTTCTGTGAGCAGACGTATTCCTCAGTATTTTCCCCAAACCGGTTCTAAACCCTCTAGTAGTTCACCTATAACAAACCCTGGTCTTCCATCAGTTAATCGGGGTATCCCACAGTCTTCCCATATCCAGAAAGCCGGTCCTTGTTATTCTTGTATCTTTCTGAGTTCTAAACTCATTGAACAAGGATGTGACTCTTTAGCCGAGTCTACTTTGGCTAGATGCCGGCATGGGGATGTTCCGGGATGGATCTACCTCTGCATCTGGTGAGGCAGATGACCCAATCACCATCTCGGATAAACCGACCTCTTCGTCTTCTAATGATTCCTCATCTAGTAGCATTTTTGATTCAGGTATGCCCATTCTGTCCTTCTGATTAAGTTCTTTTGTTGTTTTAGGTATTTATGGCATCTCCCCCTAGAGATTGTAGAGGAGTTAGGTTCTATCGAGTCGTATTCCGAGTCTCCTCCAGCCTCCTTAGTATCCCAATTTCCCTGGGTAACTTATGAAGTTTTAAATACCACGTCCGAATAAGTGCGAACAATGTGGCTGGTCTCCCCGTTGGGAAGTTAGTTTGATATGGCTCCCCCACGAGATGGATAAACCAGTTTGCTCTGGGGGAAGTTCAGAAGAGCCTTGCTTCTTTTTCTTCTACCGGGATATTGTAACACAACTCGGCATTAAATTTCCTTTTACCGAGTTCCAAATTGACCTCTTAAATCATCTTCACATAGCTTCCAGTCAACTTTATCCCAACGCTTGGGGTTTTGTCATGGCATTCGAGCGCTTTTGTGCATACCTCGCTCTTCCTCCTTCTGTCTATGTTTTCCTCTTCTTTTTTCAAGCTCTTACTCCACGAAGTGGACGTGAACCTCCAGAAATAAAGGTTGGGTCACCTTTCGGGGTGTCCCTGGTTGTAAAATTTTCCATGTCTTCACTGATTCTTTCAAGAACTTCAAAGATAAATTCTTTAAGGTTTTTGCGCATCCCGGTAAGGAAGTGTGGTTTCTCAGTGGTTGTGACTCCGAGGATGTATAGGAAAAATTTTCCCTGTATTGGTCATCTTACCATTATCACTTTCCTTCCTCAAGTAACCGTTTCAAGGAATCCCAGCTAAATCCCACTGATGTCAATAGCGTGATCGCCATGCGTGCATATATCAAGGCGCGGGGTCATGCTAGTGTTGCCTCCCTTTTTTACAAGTCTCAAGAAGAACTTGATGCTGAAATAAGTATGGCTTTTTGTGACACTTATATGCATATTTGTGATACTGCATCTTATAACTATCTTTTATTGCTTTTGCTTTGCAGTTCCCGGTATGGAAAACCAACAACAAGACCAACAGGATAACCAGCCGAGCTTCTTGGCAGCTCTAACCCGGGGTAGAAAGGACGTCATTGTCAATTTGACAACCAAAAAGAAGAAGGCCTCCGAAATTAAGGCCAAAAACCCCCCATCTGGTACTGCCGAGAAAGCTAAAGGGATCCCAGCTGACAGGGCGAAAGGGGCCCCTGCTGATAAAGGTGCCCCTACCTCCTCCCAAGCTGCGACGAAGTCCTCCATGCCTCCACCACCATCTAGTATT